AGGGAAGGGTTGAGGGCGTGAAGGGAGGGCTAGGAATGGGGAACAAATAAGAACCAAGATGCATTATGTAAAGGTACAGTTCCCAATGAGATATGTAATTGTGTTGTATACCTACAATGTACCAATAAAAGAATTTAATTAAAAAAATAAAATAAAATAAGGACTTCATTGATACTGAATTTTAGAATTTTGAAGGATTAAACAGTGTTTTTCTACATGGACCATTAATTGACAAAGTGTTTTCGTAGGAGTTGGGATTTTTATAGGTATTATCTTATGACACTCTGGTGATATGTTTTGTAATAATAAGTTTTCAATTCTCCTTTCTTAACAGGGACATTTTTGAAGAAGATAATTATAGCCCCATTCCTGTTGTCAGTGAAGAAGAATATAAAATAGTCATCAGCAAATTTCCCTTTCAAGATCCAGATCTTGAAAAGGTACAAGCTAGGTTTTTAATTTTTTCTTAAGAAAATTTCATGATCTTTATTACTACATAAAGTTAGCCTGACATTGTAAGTTATGATAATTTTGGGGGATAATTTTTGTTGTATTATGTAAGAAAAATAATTATATTTTGTTTACTTATAAAGATTAATGCTGTTTTTACTACTACTATTTTGATGAAATTAAGAAGGTACTTTCCTGGGGATATTAGAAGCATTTGTTCTAAATGTTAGGTGGATTCCCAGGGCAAGTGTTACTAATGTTGGGTGGGTTCCAAATTATACATACTAAATGTTGAGTAGATTATAGTAACGAGTATATTTTGGAGAAAGGGAATTTCTTAGAAATATCCATTACTATGGAAGATTTTTGTGACTTTTAAAAAATAGTGTATTTCTATAAAAATATGTAAGTCTTTTCTATGGGTTTTTTTTCACTTGATTAAGTAAAAGATGTATGAAGGTAATAACTACTTGCACATTTCTTCTGGAAATAAGAATGTATATTTTTGGAGAAAGTACAGCTGAACAAAAGAAAGGATAGATAAAGAAAGTAGACCAGCATGTGATATTCAGGGATGCCTAGGAATGCACATATATGTACATACATATGCAGAAACATGCATAATTGCACCTATCTAGTATTTCTGGGAAAAATCAGATCTTATGGGAAAAGGATATTACATTTCCCACAACTATCACCTTTTCCCTCTTTTTTTCTTATTTTTCAAACTGTTTATTAATTTCTTTTCTACCTTTTTATCTCTTTAGAATGAGCACAACTGAATGCTGAGTGAATTGTGTGACTTGTGACTGTAAATTTTTGTTATTTTTTTAATGTATAAATAAGCATATTGTATATAATATTTATTAAATAGAGAAAAGAAATTAAGTGCATAGCTTTTGGATTTTAGCTAACAGTGTCATTGATATATGTACCTGTTATCTGTGTTTTTATGCCCAAAAGAGACCAGAATAATTATTCTAATTCTGTACTTTTTGAAATCCCAACCAGAGTTGTCCCTGTTAAAAAATATTATCAGAATGTTTTCCATCTTATGGCTTGGTGGTTTTTCTCTCTTTGTTTTTTGTTCTAGTTACTGGTGAGGAGTTTGTTCAGTCTATAGCATCTGTATCAACAGCACAGGACCAGCCTGGATTTATGCTGGCTCTGCTTGTGGCTTGCTATGGCCAAGTGACTTACCTTGTTTGAGCATTTATACTTCTCTTGTTAAAAGAGGTGGTTGAACTATTTAATGCCCCTTCCAGTTATGCTAAATTATTCTAAATAGGTTTATAGTTTAAAGAAAGTTAGCTTTGCTTGTAGGAACTTCCAGTATATTCATTACGCCTTAGGATTAAACTCCTAATTTTGAAATTATATTCATTGGTCAGTATTTCTGCATACAGAAAGTCTGTAATCCTGCAGTAAATGTATAAGGGTAATGAAGTTTAGGAGATGAAGATAAAAATATAATTAGAGAAGTTGAAAGAACCAGACCATAACGGCCCTTGTAAATAATTGGAGATTGTAAATTATTGGAGAGTTTCGCCTTTATCTTGAAGGCTATGACACGCCACCAAAGGGTTTTAAGCAGCAAGTACATAATGAGATTTGTGCTTTAGGAATATTACTCTGGCTAATATATGTAGAATGGATTGAAAAGAGTAAGACTGGTGCTAAGGAGACCACCTAGGATATTTTTGCAGTTACTCTGATGAATAGGGGATATGGTCATGGAACTTGATTTAGTAGATATTTAGAATAGTGGAACAATAGGAGTTGTGATTATTTGCATATCAGGGATAAGGAAGATAATGGGGTCAGATATAATAAGCAAGTTTCTGCCTTCATTGGTAGCAGCATTCTCTATGTTGGGAAACATAAGAGGAGAAGAGTTGGAAATAAAAAAGGTGCTAATTGGGCCAATTATGCCACATACTTCAAAGAAGGCAGGTTAACATGAAAAGCTGCAAAACTCCATTGGATGTCATAATTAGGAGGTCATTGGTGACCTTGATCCTGGTGAGAGTATGTTCATTAACATAACAAGGTTGTAGTGAATGTGATGATAGAGTAGATTAGATTTCATAAAGTATAAACAAGGGGTTTTGGGTTAAAATCTTGGAGGAATTTTAACCTTTTGAAACTAAGAATTTTCAAGTGGATACTTGCTAATAAAGTAGTTTAGCCAAGAAGCACACTCTAAACCATTAGTTGCATAATGATGTTTGATGGTACAGTGTTTAGATAGCTACTGTAAGATTTTATGCTAAGAGTTATGGAGAGAAGTATCTTTTTGAATTGGCATCAAGCCTCCAGTGAAGCTAAGTGAAGGGAATCTTGAAAGTATTCAGTAGTTCTGAGCCAGAACACTGGGTATAACTTTCATGGTCACCTTGACTCTTATATTATGGATACAAAGAAGTAAATAGGGGTCTCCTACGAGGTTTGCTTATCATCAGAATACAAAGAGGTATTGTTATGTGCTGTCCTTGCTTGTTAGTAGTCTAATGATATGATTTAAACACAGTGTTAAGTTGCTACATACTGTTTTTTCAGAAATATTTTTGATTTCTTTAAAATATCAAAAGTAGTATAGAAATTTAACAATAGAATTTTGATGAGTTTACTATTAATTGAAATGTGATGAAGTTACTTTTTACATTTTAAGTGATTAGAATTTTTTAACTAAAATTTCAAAAACAATATTAACTTTCTTTCTACAGCAATCTTTTCCAAAGAAGTTTCCCATGTCTCAGTCAGTACCTCATATTTACATTCAGGTTAAAGAATTTATTTATGCCAGCCTTAAATTTTCAGAGTCACTACACCGGAGGTAAGCTTATTAAGAAATCTATCTTTTATCATGAGTTTTATGAAATATTAACACTTTATTTTCATACTATGACCCTTTAATGGATTATCATCTTATTGGAAAGGCTTATCTATGTTAGACATATTTAAGGTTAAGTGTCTATAAATTGAGTATTATCTTTTTTTTGTTGTTTTGTTTTGTTGAGACAGGGCCTAGCTATGTAGTTCAGGCTCTACTTGAACTCACTGTGGAGCCCAGGCTGGCTTCGAACTTGGAGCAATCCTTCTGCCTCAGCTTTCCAAGTGCTGAGGTTACAGGTGCTATCACCACCACACCTGGCCCAATCTAATGTTGTATTTTTAAACTTTTTACTTATGTAAATCTCTAAGCATATGCAAAAGTAGAAATAATTTGATAGAAGGCTTCTGTTTTCTCAGCATCTAGATTTAAGTATAATAAATATTATGCCATAGTCATTATTGTTTGCTGAAACATTTGAATGCAAATACCTTAAATAATGACCTTTTACCCATGAATACTTCAGTATGTGCTTCTAAAAACAGTGAGCACTCTCCATTACTTACCTGCACTTCAAAAAAATTATCATTTCCCTAGTACATACCAGTGTTTTTTGATCATCTTCAGAATATCTTTTTTTTTTTTGGTACCGGGGATCGAACTTAGGACCTTATGCTTGTGAGGCAGGTGGTGGAACCCACTGGCCACAGAATATCTTTTTACAGTTGATAAATTTGAATCAGGGTCCAAACAAAGTCCACACCTTGCATTCATTGTTAAATATGTTTTACCAGTGTCCTCTTTTGATTTATGCCATTGATTTGTTGAAAATCAGATATCATTGTTCCCTTTTTTTTTTTGGTACTGGGGATCAAACTCAGGACCTTGCTCTTGCAAGGCAGGTGGGAGAACCACTGACGTAAATCCCCAGCCAACATTGTTCTCTTTCTTGAATAGTCTTCAAGTCAGGAGTCAGACAAATTTGACAAAATAAATAAAGAATGTTGTAGCAAGTTGGTATCATACTCAGCAGTGCAGAGCAGCACAACTCTTGGTAACTGTAGCCAGGTTAATTTTTCTTTTTTTTTTCTCTGGTACCGGGGATCAAACTCGGGACCTTGCGCTTGCGAGGCAGGCAATGGCACCACTGAGCTAAATCCCCAGCCCGCCAGGTTAATTTTATAGATAAGAAAATTCCAGTTATCTCATATGGTGAGGATAATACCCTATGTTTATGGAGATAGAAAATGTGATATTATCCCTATTTGTTCATAAGGAAACCAAGGCTAAGAAAGGCTAAATCATTTGTTTAGAATGACTCAGGTGGTTAGGTTGAAAACTGGGTTGAAGAGCAGGACTTAGGACTCTTGTATCAGTGAAAGTACCTGGCACAGTGGCTGACATATAATTAATGGTAGCAGAACATTAATCTTTTTTGCTATATCTTGTTCCAGCTACCTGGATAGGTCCTGTATTATAGTCATGTGATGTATTTTTTTTTCCTTCTCCTTTCCCTTCTCCTTTCCTCCCCTTACCCCCCAACCCCAGTACTGTGTATTGGACTCAGAGCCTCCCATGTGATATATTTCTGATTGTGAACATTCTCTGCAAGACTGAGTGGGATACTGGCTTTCATAATGCTACCTTCTTTGAAATCCATTCTTCTGAATTTTTATACTTGATCTTAGTCAAAAGACCGAGACACGATCTTCTGAATTTTTATACCAAATAGCCGGAAATGTCCTTTTTCAGTGTATACTGAATTTTAAGTCACAAAAGACATGAAGATATGACAGTTGCTTATTTTTCAAGCAGAAGCAATGAGAACAATAACAGTTGTCATAAATTTTTTTATTGTACTTTCCTCTTATTGTAAGATACTATTATTTTGTATTTATACAAGACATAAGTGAATTGAATAAGAAATATGTGTCTGCCAGGGTTAGAGTATCTGATTTTATGTCTTTGCTTTTCTTTTGTGAATAGAGATTTTTAGAAAAGATTCTTTAATTCCTGTTTATGAATATTATGAAGAAGAGAAGAAAAGGCAAATATCTAATACATAACATACATATTGTACTGTGTAATTTCTGTAATCCAGTGGTTCTCAAAGTGCACCCTGGTCAGCAACATTACCATTACAGGGGAAATTATTAGAAAGGCTACCTCAGGGCCAGGGATTTAGCTCAGTGGTTCCACTGCTTGCCTCACAAGTGCAAGGACCCAAGTTCGATCCCTGGTACCAAAAAAAAAGAAAGGCTACCTCAGACTTACTGAATTAGAAATTGAGGGTGAGGCCCAGGATTTTACCAACTTCTCTATGTGATTCTGATGCATGCCAAAATTTAAGAATATTGCTTAAGTTTCATAATACTCCACTATTTAATTATACCAAAGTCTCTAAAAACATTATTTTTAGATACTATAAGATATACAGCATAATCTAGCTTTTGAAAAACAATGAATTCAAATGAGTGTGACTGAAAAGGAATAACATGAAATTATTTCTATTAAAATGATATGTTTTCATAGTAGATATATTTTGGGCCACAAATAGTTGAGTCACCAGTAATTTATCCCTATCTTGTTTTTCATTTTATGTTCTCTTTTGATCTAAAGTAGAAGGGATGGGGATGTGGCTGAATGGTAAAGTGCTTGCCTAGCATGTACAATGCCCTGAGTTTGATGCTTATACCACAAAAATAAGTAAATAATGAATAAAATAAAAGAGACAATACAATGCTTAAGAAATAAGCTTTAGACTCTGATTTATCTCAGTTTGTTTCTTGATGCTGGCACTCACTAATTGAAATAAGACCTTATGCAATTCAACTAATCTCCTTAAACTGCAGTTTCCTCATCTATAAAATGAGCAAGCTTTTTTTTTTGGTACCGGGGATTGAACTTGGGTCCTTGTGATTGCAAGGCAGGCAGCAGAACCACTGAGGTAAATCCCGGGCCCGTCATCTATAAAATGAAGAAAACAATTTGTGTGGTGGTTCTAAGAGTAAAGTGCGGTAATATGGTAAAGCACTCAGCATACTGCCTGGCATATGGTAAGCTCATAGGGCTTAGGAGAAGGGATGCTACAATAATAGATGTGAGACGGGAGTGTTTTTATTTTATTTTGAAAGCATTGGAGAAAAATTAGAGTTAAAGTTCATGGGAAGATTACTACTCATAGGTAAATCTTGCTGGCACAAATAGAACACAGGTACTGATAGGTTTTCTTTCCTTTTACTTATGAAGAAGTATGCATTGAAGTGCAGGGAAATTTTTAAAAAAGATATCTGTATGAGTAACTTTTCATCTGAGAAAGATTCTATATAGAGTGTCTTATACACAATTTGAATGTGTCAGAAAAGAAACCAGAGGAATTGGCAACCACCTTTTATCAGGGTGTGTAAATGGGTTGTTTTAGGGACATCATTGATGGATTAGAAAGTGTTTTCTGTTTGAGTATTTGATGCCAAGAAACCCTGAAGCCTACTGGTTTGAATCTAGATACACAAAGTCTAAAAGAAATACTTTCCTTGGGCCTGCTGGAATTAGGATTAGCAGAAATAGTAGAATGCCTGTATTGGGGCTGGAGATACAGCTCAGTGTTAAAAGATGAGGTTAGTATGCACAAAAATTAGGCTGAATCCCCAGCACCAAAATCAAAACACAAAACAAAAAATAGAACGGGATAACTGCATTAATATAGAAAATATTAGAGCAATGAGAAGTATTCCTGTTTTGTCAAATCTTGCTCGATTTGCATTTTAAACATACAAGGAGTAAATATTAGTGTTTCGTAGATTATTAAGAGTAATATTGTAATGAAATAAAAAGTAAGTAGGTGTTGAGTTTTTAGCCTAAGTCTAAGGCAGTAGTTCTAAATTAGGGATAATTTTGGTTTATGCTGTTAGCACTACCTCCCCCCCCCCGCCCCCGCCATTTGCCAATGTCTAAAGACATTTTGGTTGTCACAACTAGGGGTAGGGATGGACAGAGGTGCTGCTTGGAATTACTAGGTAGGGTCTGATGCTGCTGCTTAACACCCAACATTTTACAGATTAGCCTTCATAGCAAAGAATTATCCAACCTAAAATATCAGTAGTGCTAAAATTGAGAATCCATGATTTAAGGACAGATTTAACAGGTTGTTTTTCTTTTTTTTTTTGGTACCGGGGATTGAACTCGGGTCCTTGTACTAGCGAGGCAGGCGCTGGAACCACTGAGCTAAACCCCAGCCCAGATTAACAGTTTTAATAATGAGGCTTTCTTCAAGAAATCATTATTCACTTAAGTTGAAGGCCTAGTAGTTACAAGAAAAGAATAAGCTTTTTGGTACTAGCTTAGTAATCTTTAGGTGTTAAGAAGTACCATGGAGTTTTGTGCACCAAATTAGTTTAAGATAATTTATTTCTTTAAATGTCTTTAAAAATATTAAAGGAAATGGATAGTTTAGTCATTTTAAAAAGTAAATCTCCCCCGGAGCGGAGCGGGAGGACGGACCCGGGAGCCGAGCAGCTGCGGCGGTGGCGGAGGCGGTGGTGGTGGTAATGGCGGAGCTGGTACAGGGGGCAGAGCGCTCCGGTGGTCATGAAAGCCGAAGGACGCTCTGCACCGGGTCCAGCAGAAAGCCGCAGGACTCATTTTATTAGAAGAAAGTCGCCACTTGGGGGCTTGAAGATGTGATCTTCCCATCTCTTTCCAGTATGCCAAGGGAGGGAATCCTACCTGTCTCCCATATACTGACTTTTCATGTTAATACTGATGCTCCTGTAGAATTACATTGGATCCTAGAACCTTCCAAACCTGTTTCCACCTAAAATTTTGTCTGACACATTGTTACTTGTTGGTTAGGTGCCAACCAATCCAGTAGTGAGTATCCATCTTACTTAGACTTCAGAGCAACCAGCTGGCTGTAATGGATAAACATGCCGTCTAGCTCCCTTTCCACCATTCTGCTTGCTGGCACATTACTGCGCTCTCCTCTGCAGTACAGGATCCTGAACCTTGTTTCTCACTGGCTACTAATAATGCAATGGCTTTCACTCTATGCTATGTGTGACAGTCGCCTTGTTGGGCTGCTGTGTCCAGGAAAAATTATAGTCACTGTCTTAAAGAGCTCAGACCCTCAGTTTACAGGAGGCTGTAGTTGAACATTAAATGCATTTTGAACCATTGCGAAGACTTTCTGCTTCTCTTGAGCCGGTGGTTGGACAGCCTGCTCAAGAGGGAGACCCTCTGTTAAATGCTGCCCTAATGTGGACTATTGAAGCAGTTGTATTTACTCCTAGCAGTGAAAATGTCACTGGACTTGTGCTCAGCACCATTGATGTGCAGTACCGAGCCTGCTGGAGCCAGGGCTGTAACTGTATTCCTTCTGAATGTTAACAGCTGAAGGTCCTTACTGTTTCCAAGGATTTGATGGCATTTAAAAACTAAAGGAGAAACAGATTGCTGCTAAAATTGATTCAATTCCTCACTTGAATAACTCCACACCTCTAGTGGACCCCTCAGTGTACGATATGGAGTACAGAAGCGGCCCTTGGATGCCGGAGTAGGTAACCAGTTAGGGGCCTTGGTACATCAAAGGGCAGTCATAACAGAAGAATTCAAAGTGCCTGATAAAATGGTTGGGTTTATTATTGGCAGGGGAGGTGAGCAGATTTCACGAAATCAAGCAGAATCTGGTTGCAAAATTCAGATTGCTTCAGAGAGTTCTGGAATTCCAGAGAGGCCCTGCGTACTTACCGGAACCCCAGAAAGTATTGAACAAGCCAAGCGACTCCTGGGGCAGATCGTGGACCGCTGTCGGAACGGCCCTGGCTTTCACAATGACGTAGACGGCAACAGCACGATCCAGGAAATTCTTATCCCTGCATCTAAAGTGGGCCTGGTCATCGGCAAAGGAGGAGAATCAAGCAGCTGCAGGAGCGCACGGGGGTGAAGATGGTCATGATCCAGGATGGCCCGCTGCCCACGGGTGCAGACAAGCCTCTCCGCATCATCGGGGACCCCTTCAAAGTCCAGCAAGCGAGAGAAATGGTACTAGAGATCATCCGAGAAAAAGACCAGGCTGACTTCCGAGGTGTGCGCCGGTGACTTCAGCTCCCGGCTGGGAGGAGGCAGCATAGAGGTGTCTGTGCCTCGGTTCGCTGTTGGGATCGTGATAGGAAGGAACCGGGAGATGATCAAGAAGATCCAGAACGATGCAGGTGTGAGGATTCAGTTTAAACCAGATGACGGGGTTAGTCCAGAAAGAGCAGCCCAGGTCATGGGCCCTCCAGACCGGTGTCAGCACGCAGCACACATCATCAACGAGCTGATCCTCACGGCCCAGGAAAGAGATGGCTTCGGAGCCCTGGCAGTAGCCAGAGGTAGAGGCCGCGGCCGAGGGGACTGGAACATGGGGGCCGCTGGTGGCGTCCAGGAGATCATATACACCGTGCCAGCGGACAAGTGTGGCCTCATCATAGGCAAAGTGGGCGAGAACATCAAGAGCATCAACCAGCAGTGGGGCGCACACGTCGAGCTGCAGAGGAACCCTCCTCCCAACACTGACCCCAGCCTGCGGATAGTCACCATCCGGGGCGTCCCGCAGCAGATCCAGGTGGCCAGACATCTCATAGACGAGAAAGTGGGCGGAACCGGCCTCGGTGCCGCTGGAGCCTTCGGACAGAGTCCCTTCAGCCAGCCGCCTGCCGGCCCCCACCAAAACACCTTTCCTCCGAGGGGCTCAGGCTGCTTCCGCAACCTCGCTGCTAAGGTGAACGGAAACCCCCACAGCACCCCCGTGAGTGGCCCTCCAGCCTTCCTGACCCAGGGCTGGGGCAGCACCTACCAGGCGTGGCAGCAGCCCACACAGCAGGTCCCAAGCCAGCAGAGCCAGCCGCAGAGCAGCCAGCCCGACTATGGTAAGGCCTGGGAGGACTACTCCAAGAAGCAGAGTCACCCGGGTTGGGCCGCCAGCGGGGCTCCTCAGGCCAGCTCACCGCCCGACTGCACAATGGCCTGGGCGGAGTACTACCGGCAGCAGGTGGTCTTCTACGGGCAGACACTAGGGCAGGCGCAGGCCCACAGCCAGGAGCAGTAGAGCCGCCCGCTCCCCACTGCGCTCCCCCGCAGTTCAGCGAGGAGGCGGCCTGTTCGCCCCAGAGGTTTAGAATCATGGAGCTTTCGATGAAGAACCTTTGTTTTGTTTTGTGAAACACTATATTTAGATTAACAGAGTATTTCTAAAAATCGGGAAAATTAGCTACTAAAAATTGCTGATAATTTTTCCTTCATTGTTTCTGTTTATTTCAAATGTGTGAGCTCTGGGATTCTTTTCAGGCCAGAGCGCGCCTCGGAGCAGATATTTCAACATGGTGATTTTTGTTTTGTTTTGTTCTGTTTTATTTTGTTTTTGTCTTTTTATTTACAGGTTTTTTTTCTGTTGCAACAGAAAGTGGCTTGAAAGTCTTAGGTAGTATGTAACAAATTCTTTAAAAAATTTTTAAACAGTATTTAAATATTCTTAAATGTGTAAATTCATTAAGTGTTTTTACTTCTAATTTCTTGTATCTTGGCTATCTGGTTTTATTGCATTTTTTAAAAACCTGAACTATTATGTATTGTAATTAATTATGTGAATTCTGAATTGAGACAGATAATTGTAT